GGCCAGGTCCACGCTCGAGCCCCCCGAGGAGCGGGCCAGAGCTCGAGCCGCACAGCGCGCGCGTCCTCGCTATAGCAGGAACCCCGAGGAACTGGCCAGGTCCATGCTCGAGCCCGCCGAGGAGCGGGCCAGAGCTCGAGCGGTAGACAGGGGCAGGAGGAGGCGGGGCGCCCTGGCAAGAAGTGGGACCGCCTCCCGCATAGTGCACCGGCCCAACAGAAACACCAGCATGTGCAAGCTCCACTGGACCAGCAGTCCCTGCAGCAGCCCAACTAGCAGCGCCAAGGCCCTCGGCCGACAGCGGCGACAGCTCGGAGGTCAGGGCGTGCCGTCCGACGCGCGAGGCAGGCGGCCTCGCCTCGGCGGGGGCCGCCTTGGGGCGGGGCTTCGAGAGATCCCTTCGAAGCGCCCGCAATGCCCCCCGCCCCGCGCGGATCGACCCTCGGCTCGGCCGCCAAGCGCAGGTGTGGCACAGCTTCCATCCTCGCCGATGTGCCCCATCAGCCGTGGGACGTCCAGCACCTTGAGGTCGTCCAGCTCGGCATCGGGTTCAGCGTCGGGTTCGGCGACGCTGCCGTCGCCGTCCAGGCCAAACCTGCGCTGGCACGGGGCCTTCAGGTCCTCGTAGAAGCTCTCGTCCACCTCCTCATCCACGCCCACGGGGCGGTCGCGCGGCTGCGCCTGCCTCGGGAGGGGGGGGGGGGATTGGGGTGCTCGGCGAGCTGCTCCTCAGCCCCCCCCCCCCCCTCCCCCTCTGGCCATCGCGCCGCCCCTCGTGGTGGTCGGTCCCGGCCCGCGCTGCCCTGCCAGTGGCGGCGCGCTCTCCGCGCCTCGCGCCAGCGGCAACCTCCCGAACGAGGGATCGCCGCATCCGGCGGGCCCACGGGCATCGCGACCTCCACGTCGCGCGGCCGGGAAGAAGCGGGGGAGCCATCGGGGCCCCCGAGGAGCAGGCCAAGTCCCTGCTCGAGCCCCCCGGGCGGGCCAGAGCTCGAGCCGCACACCGAGCGCGTCCTCGACGCATAACACCCCAGAAGAGCGGGCCAGATCCTCGCTCGAGCTCCCCGAGGAGCGGGCCAGAGCTCGAGAAATACTCACTCGCTGAAGGGTTCTGGCAGGCAAACGTGGGCCTCAACCAAAAACAAAGAAGCAGAGGGGTGCCAGGCCTGAGGATTCCCTGGTGTGACCCCGAAGGGGGCCCGCACCAGGGAATCCTCAGGCCTGGCTTCACCATCGATCAACTCGCGGGCCGCCTCGAAATTATCCTGCAGGCCGTCGAGCAACGCCTCCATGCGCCGCAACCGACTGGCACGAAGGCGGCGCTGACGTTTGCTTTCAGGTTGCGGTAATGCATGAGGTCGAGGAGCAGCAGGTAGAGGTCGAGGAACGACGAGCTTGGTGACCCAATGCTCCTCGCGGCCGCCCTCGACAGAAATGGCGGGGACCATGGCGCGTCTTCCACGGCGCGCCCTGGGCCCCCTTGATGCAGAAGTCGGGGCGCGAGGCGATGGCGAGCACGTCGCCGCATGGCCGTCCACGGCATTTGTCGCGGGTAACCTTGCAATCAGCATGAACTTCCACGCGCGCCTCCATTCGTTAAACCCATCCGCTCTCACGCAGCAGCGGGGGCCCACAATCCCAGTCAGCAGCGACAAACCACGGGTCCGCCAAGGCCCGACTGAAAGAAGCGAGGGCGACCATGATCTCATTGCCGGCACCGCGGACTCAAGGCCAGGCCGCGCGCCGGCCGCGATCGCTGCAACGTTCCCCGTCTTCAGGTGCAGAGTCAGCGGCGCGAGCCCCCCGCATGGGCCCTGGCGCCGCTCCTCACGAGCGAGCGCACGCATGCGCTGGAAGGAAGAGGGCGCGACGAACTTGCGCGTCAAAATCCACTCGACTCCGCTGAGCCCACGCTGAGAGCGCCCAGAGGGGCGAGCAGGCGTGGAGCTCCACTACCAGCCATTATTGCCGAGGTCCTTTTCCAGCTGCGGCAAGGCCCGAGCTTCCGGACGGGTCTCGACCAACGCGACAATGGAAAAATCATACTACTTCTCCGCGAGGAACCGTCGGCCCTGGGGGCCCACTCTGCGATGTTAGAATAGACTATCGTCGCATCCTTCGAGGCAGCCGCCGTATCAAAGATGCTGAGGAGCGCCAGCAGGAGGAGCCGCGGGCGCAGCAGAAGGCGCGCCCGCGGGGGCTGACCCTCGGCCCGCCTGGAGGGACGCCCCCCGAGAACCCGCCGCGATCGAGGCAACCACCTTGACGCGCTCCTCCGACGAGACAGGCTTGACGCCGCCGGGCGCAGCGCCCGCGCCCATCTCCGAGTCGGCGGCTGCAGAGCCGCCTGCGGCGCCACCTCCTCCAGGGGAGCCAGCCGCAACTGGGGCCTCGTCCGCCTCGGCGCCATCCTCGGCACGCCGCTTCTTGCGCGGGCCAGAGGCCGCGGCCTTGGCGGAAGTGAGCAGGTCATTGAACTCCTGCTCGCGAGGCTTGGCCTGGGCGGCCACGTCCTGGAACTGCTTCTGGAAAGCCTTCAGCTTCTTTCTCCTCCTCCTCCTCCTCCCCTCCTCCTCCTCTCTCTCCTCCTCCTCCCCCTCCTCCTCCTCCTCTCCTCCTCCTCCTCTCCATCCTCCTCCTCCTCCTCCTCCTCCTCCTCCTCCTCCTCCTCGTAGTCGTCCAAGTGCTGGAAGAGAGAAGGGTCGACGCCGAAGGCCGTCGCGGGGTCAGTCTGCGACCCCGCATTTTCGATGGCTGCGGGGCCGCCCTGCGCCGCCCCCTGGGCAGCAAGGCGAGCTTGGTCCGCCGCGAAGAGGTCCCCCGCGACCGCGAACTGCCGAGACTTGGCGTCGGCCAGCCACGCCTCCGCCGCGATGAGCGCCTTGGAGGCCTTCTCGAGCTTGGCCTGCTTCTGGGCGCAGAGCGAGGTGGCCTCACGCAGCACAGCGTACGGGCTCTTCTCCTTGGGCTTGGGCTTGGGCGCGTCGGCAAGCTGCTGAAAATGCTGGGTCAAGGAGCGGGCACTCGGGTCGGCCGACAAGCCCGTCGCCTTGAGGTGCTGCTCAAGCAATTGCTCAAGCTCCGCACGGTGGGCAAGAGGGCCGGCCAGTCCGCCGAAGGCGGGGTCCAATCCTTCCAGCTCTTGTCGTCACGCTTCCAAGGATCGCACACGAAGCCCGTCTGATGGAGGCCGCAAATCTTGCCCTTACCGAACTGCTTGCGCAACCTCCAATCGTAGCACCAGTTACCGCAGCCCGAACACGTCGTGTAAGCCATGTTCTGAGCTTACCATCGGACTTCTGCCGTGTTATGAAAACGGCAAGAGAAGCGAAGCGTCCTGGGCCGCGGCGGACCAGCACGCAGGATCCAGGTCAGGGCGAACTGACCGAGAAGTTGGAATCAAGCCGCGGACTAGCGGTATCCACTTTGCTTCCAGGGGAAACCAACACCTTGAGCCACAATGGCTACGGAGCAAGAAAATCAGGAACAGGAGGCCTGGAGAAACATCCGCACCCGAGCACGATCACGGCGAATTCTCAACTTTTTTATGCGGCCTGCAATGCACTGTACAGAGGGTCGCTCCAGCGAGCAGGCACCACGCAAGCCAACGGCGGCGCGCACCACAGCATGCGGGGGGAGCTGGGGCGCGTGCGGGGCCCCGACCCAGCATGTGGCTCTGAGCCGAAATTGCTTGAGCCAAAAAGGCTTCGGAGGAGGAGGAAGGGGAGGAGGAGGAGGAGGAGGAGGAGGAGGAGGAGGAGGAGGAGCACGAGGAGGATGAGGAGGAGGAAGGGGAGGAGAAGGAGGAGGAGGAAGGGGAGGAGGAGGAGGAGGAGGAGGAGGAGGAGGAGGAGGTAGAGCAGGATGGAATCCATGACGCATCGCAGAGGCAACATGATGACGCCCATGATAATGATGACGGCATTTACAACATGGAATCTCGACCGTCATCCAGAGCATCCGCGTGTGGTCTTGCACTCTCAATGGAAACGTCCGCACGATGACACGCTCCGTCATACCTGACATCGAATCGCTATGACTGGCGCATTGTGGACAGTGTGCCCGATGAGAGTAGAAAGAACCGAAAATACATTCAATGGAAGGGCAAAGGAAACAGACAAGAAGGGGGAGAGAAAGAGGGAGGAACTCACAGCAAGGAGTCATGAGAAGCGGGAGGGGGAGAAAAAGAGAGAGAGAGAGATATAAAGATATCTATAAATATACATAGAAAGAGAGAGAGAGAGAGCGAGTAGAGGGAGCGAGAAAGGGAGAGAGAGAGAGAGAGAGAGAGGAACACATCGATAAAGAGAGAGAGAGAGAGAGACCCGGTTTGTATGGTGTAGACACAGAGAGATCGGGGAAGCGAATAAGTAAGTAGAGTCAGTGCGCAACAGAGGAGAGCAGACGCATAACATCAGAATGTAGAAAAGAAGAGGCGTGCAGAGAATCGAGGGGAAATATCAAGCAATTCGACTTGCCTGGAAGACAGCATCAGCTAAGAAGACGTAAAGACAGGAGAGGAAGGGATTGAGGGGCAATAGAACAAAAGGGATAGGAAAGGAACGGGAAGCAAGAGAAGACAAGCTGCGAGTTAGAATTGATCTGGACTGATCGCGCCATTCGAAATGATCGCGAACGTGCGGGCAAACGCGCGCGCAACCAGGTCGTGGACGCAAGCAAGTTGCGACTGGTCTACGGATCGCCAGGCCCACCAATGGCATGGACAACTCACGACAGTGAGAGAGAGGCAGAGGGAAGAAATAATCGCAGTCGAGGGGTGCAGCCGAATACAGTGGAGGCCAGTTCACAAGAAACCGTCCACGAGAAACCCAACCCTGAGACCCCAGGGCGTCCATGGTTATATGGCGTGGGAACGTCGGGCTTTCCAGATCATGCCATCGAAACCGGAGAAACCCAGGGCACCCTGGAGGCAAGCAGGGTGTTTCTTGGCATGGGCCCCCACTGCAGAAGACAACAAGGGAGAGCGAGGGAGCGGCGGC